TAGCATTTGCTACTTTGTTACAGTGTTAAACAAATAGCATTTGCTACTTTGTTACAGTGTTGAACAAAGTCTTTCTTATTGTGCTTTAACATGTTAAAAACTCTCTAACAAGCTTCCTCTTAGCATATAAGTCCCATAAGGCCCGGGATTTGTTTTGTTGACCAAGGCATTCCAATCCCCTAGAACAGAGCCTGATATTGATAGAGTAGGCATGCCAACATGATGTCAGTAAGATGAAATCGAAACCGGTTCAAGCACGGTTAGCTTGGTTCTTACTCTGGAGGCGTTGTAAATCCTGAAAATCCTGCTGATGATATCTTCTTCTAAGTCTGCAGACACAAATTCCACCTGGATGGGGCCGTGCCTGTGCACTCCATTTTCTGGCCAGTACTGTGGACATAGCTGAACCCAGAACACAACAACAGGTGTAATTACAGAGGTGATTGGACAGCGGTTTGGATGCAGTCAGCATCTAAGAATTTTTTGAACTTCAGTTCCTTTCATTCCTAAAAGGCCCAGAAACCAGAACCTTCTTCAATAGGTTGCCTCCTAATCCTCTGGCTACTCATAATCCTACACATACTTTTCTAAAAGTATGTGTTAGCCTTGTGCACTTGGGCTTTCTGAGGCTGTGGTAAGGATCTTTGTAAAGGCATCCCTTTGTAAGTCTCTCTCATGCTAAAAGGAACACCTGGGCTCCAAGAAGATGCCTTCAGCCACCACTAAAATGAAGACACTTAAGCAAGCATGAGTACTTGGTAAGACCCATGCTCTTCCAGGGGACTGCTGGGAACAGGCTAATTCCTGATAACTGGCAAATGCTGGGTGTATCAGTACATTCTTTTAAAGCAAATTGATGTTCCACAAAAAGTGTCATTGTCACATGTTGTAAAATATGATTTATATATTCAAGATCACAAGATAAATTCTCAGTTAACAGTGAATCAACTAAAATAATATCCTCTCTTTTCTCCCTCTTTATCCATGATAAATCTTTAATCCTTGTTAAAGATTAAGTAGGGTAAGTGGGGTAGCCATGAATGTTCTTTCCATTAGCTAAGTCTGCTGGATTTAGAAATTACATTTATTTATTTTTGAATAATGCTTTCATGGAATTTTTTCTTCCTCACCAGCATTTCCTAGTGACATGTTATTAAACTTGCCTTGTCAAACAATAGTATGTAGATTTTTATTTCCCTTTTGATTCCCAAGGGTACCCACTGTTAAGATTAACAGGCATGATAGCCAAGAGCTGAGTTGGCAGTAAAAGCCATAGCAAACACTTTTAAGCTGTTCTGCCCATTTCTCTGTGGACAGAGCAGGCTTTGCTCTCTGCTGATTTTTCCCAGTTCAAGCAACTGATCAAATGCTTGTCATTTACACTACAGAAATATGAATGGCCCGGGCTGGCATCTAGCTCTTGGCACACTGTGCCCTACATTCTGCCCAAAGAAACCATGTAGAAAATGGCTTAAATGGTGCATAACACATCCATGAACTGGTCCGATAAATACTTAAAACAGTCGAGTGGGAGCCTTGTACGCTTGTGAAGCTCCTGAGTTCCAGCTTTCAGTTTAGCATTTGCTAAAAGACGAGAGTCCCAGGAGTCTTTCTGGCCCCGCTCTGGAAATCAGCTCTATCTGCTGAACAGAATTGGAAGTCTCTTTGTCTCTCTGACTGCCAGTCAGCTAAGGCTTGGTTTGAGTCCAGACTGTTAGCTTTTAGAATTCAGCTTCAGCATTCAGACACCAATGCTCAGGGAGTGCCCTGGTGTCCGTGACCCCTTGGTCACCCGTAGGTTATCCATATGCACTTCTCATCAGGAACAAGGCAGACTGGCTTAACACAGGATACATATCTCCTACCCCGTATTTGGCTCTTAGGTTCGTGATTGCTGCCTAGAACTCAGAGTGACAGTCCTTGGTTCTGCTTGAAACTGGTGGAACTTTCACAAACAGTGACAATTTGTTCTGAGAGTGGGGAGAAGGAAAGGAGAATTCTAAAACATTGACATTAAGCCAGTGGATAAGAACAAGAGATGCCATTATTATTTCATCAGCTAGCTTTTGAGTGAGAGCCCCAGCCACACAATGCAGTGTCTCCAACATAATTAAAAACCCTAGCTGAATATGGGACATTAGTAGCCACCGGCCATGTTTTGGGAAGGAGACATCTTGTCCTGTTTACATGCTGAGACACTCCAGGACCCCCACCAGCACCCCTGCCCTATTTAAAACAGCAGTTTCTCTACTGGATACAAAATGAATTTGGTGCTCGAGTAAGCTCCTTCTTAATACACACTATGCTTGAAGCTTCCCTAACACCCTCTCTCATGGCAGTGAAATCTGAGCTGAGAATAGATTCTGCTCCCAAAGGGCGTTGGGACTCTCCTGACCCCTCCAAGAAAACTCTGGCACCCTGCCTACCAGTGTGGCTTTCCTCCTCCTCCCCGCTGTGAGAGGAGCCACCTGGGAACTTCCCTGAGCTGCTGAGTTTCAGTCCAGTTCCCAGTGTTGCTTCTTTTAAGATTGTTACAAAGAATCAACAAAGTCTGCTGCCTCTCTTTAAACCAGCTAGCCTGCCTCCATTGTCCAGTCACCTTGATGCCTCCCTCTTGCACTTAGAAGCTGAGCACTTCTAAGAAGCACAGGTGCCTGATAGCATGAGATCAAGGCCTGGCCCCTATCTTCACTGGTTGGCTCCCTCTCTTCTTAGCTGTGCAATGTGTGGTCCTGGTTCAGCTTGGGCCCTGTCTGTGCCCCTGAAACTCACTGTCAGATGTCTTAGTCTTTTACCCCTGTCTTTCTACTTCTGGTATCCTGTGCCTTCAGTATGTCTGCTTGGTTCCCACCAACTTTCTTCTGCAGTTTCTAATGCTCATTTGTAATCCTTGTGTTTCCAAATCCTTCGACATGCCTGTGAACACCAGCTGTGGGGCCTGCCCATCTCGTACAAACAAACTGCATGCAGACCTAACTCTGTGTCTTGAGGTCTGCCTGAAGAACCCCTAGACTCACCTGGGCAGGATCCACGTCATTGAGCATGACTACGGACGTGCAGTGGTAATCCAAGACCAGTCGCCAGAAGTCTTTGACGGTGTTTGGCAAAGGATGCTGTGTGACTATAAATGCTGAAGGCTGTTTATAGCTCTGCAGACATGAAAAGAAAGATCCAGATATATACAGCACAATGTGAGGGGAGGCAGCGGAGTTATTTTGTGCACATGGAGACATGTGACACAATGTGCCAAATACGATTAGTGTTTGTTTGACTCTAACACCATTGTCAATACCAAAATGGACTAAAAATAAATGATTCTGTGAAACTGGAAATGTTCTCACTTTGATACCATGGGAACGTCATAATTATTATTATTTTTTACCATTTTTTATACTTCTGATGGGCAATGTATTGGCTCCCCATCTTAATAATTTTAGGGGAGGGAGTTTCACTTTACTTAAAAAACTAAGTACAATGAAAACAGTTCTTTCCCAAATTTTCTGGCTTGTTGTTTATCTGAGTGACACGGTTGCTTATTCCTGCCATGAAAGATACACACGGTTTTGTCAGCTCCGGGAGCTTTAAACAAGCTTAAGCCCCTTTTATGGTATCACACCAGTGGAATTAAAATTTACACATTAGCACTGAAAATATCCATTTACTTTCTCGTCAGTTGAATAGGAAGAAGTGAACAGACTGGCAAGAAGCGATGAGTTGTGTTCCCTTCCCATGTTAATTACCGCATAAATTAGGAAGAAAGAGAACTACATAATTCTGTCGCTCTATCCCCTTTTCCTGCCATAGGACTTAACAGCTGCCTCTTGCTTTCTGGCCAGCAGGCTAAAAACCTGACAGTGAGGCTTAGGTGAGCTTCGTTTCTGGGCACTTCATACAGGTGGCTTGTGAGGCAGGAACTGCTGCCTCTCACAAAATCACACGTTGGAATGCTAACCCTTCTTTTGTTTGCTAACCCTTCTTTTGTTGTTGGATGTGATAGCTTGCTCCTAGAAAGGCTGAGGGCGCGGATAAGCGAAAAAGGGATTCCCAGTCTCCTTGGGGCTCTGTCTCGGGGATGCACATTTTCTATTTCCTTCCCGTGGATCATGAGTGACTTACATCCATCAGGGCTGCATTGATGTAGTTGCTGCTCTCTCCATCGATGGTGATGAGGAAGGGCAGGCAGCGGTCTGGAGGCAGGATGTCCATGCAGCGGTTTTTCTCGTGGTTCCGGGGGAGGAGTGCGATGCTGCAGTCCTCCACACGCAGTGTGGGGGTCACCATGTTGAGAGTCTGTGGGATAAATGGGAAAGATGAGACCTCCAGCTCCAGTCAGGTCACCAAAGGTGGCTGATTTCATGCTTCCCTGTGACTCGATAATATGAATACATGTATGAAAACAGTGTTGTACCCCATAAATATGTGTGGTTATAATGTGCCAACTGAAAAAAAAATGCAATACAACTGAGAGACTCCTCAGGAAGTGTGGGCTGATAAAATGGTCCAGAAAGGATCGACAGGCAAATCCATTCCTTAAAAGGCATATGAGGTAGAGAACTGCTCCAAGGTCTCTGTCTCAGGCTCAGCTGGCTGATCTACCAGCTCCGTTTTCTCTTTCCCTCCTTGGGTTTTGTCTGCACACAGCACATAGCAGCCAGAGGCAGAGGCGAAGGGCCTTGCAGACCCTTAGCACACAGTACCATTAACTCTGACTAGAGCAGATTACTGAAAATCTTGGAGGCACGAAGTTGGGTGATCATTTGGTCTAGAGTCAGGTGCGATTAGATAAGACCTGGACACAACTTTTAGCTAAATGAAGATTTAGGCACATGAAGTCCTTCAAAGCCATTTCCATGTTTGGACTGCATCCATGCTTAGTTACATTATGACCCAAGTGTCCTGGATCTTGGAGATGGTTGGTAGCTATCTGACATGCAAATAACTCTGTTAGACTACTGACATGAAGCCAAGTAATTCTGGCCCTGGAGGTGTTTGGACTGGTGCTGCTACCAAAAGTGAAGCCAGGGTCAATGCTAAACACCCTATTGGCTACACAGGAAAGTCACCCAGCCTCTAACATCCCAAGTTGAGAAGCTCTGTGTTGGTTCAAGGGCCTAAGAGCTTACTTCAGGAGTTTTCCTAAAGAGGAAAATCATAGCCTTCTATTCTCCTTGTCCCACCCTGCCTGGATCCCTGCTTACCCGGAATTCCTCTTTAATTTGGCTTGAGTTTGTCTGTGGGTCCAGTTTGTTCATGTCATAATACAGAGACCTGACTTGGGAAGCAGGGATGGAGGTGTCTCCACAAAGACAGGCTTCCAGGATTGCATCATGGATAAAGACATACTGCTCCTGAAGAAGCAAGAAGGACTCAGTTAGTGATGGGGAGAACTGAAGATGAACCCAGAGGGTGAGAGAAGGAGGGGATAGTGTTGTCATCAAGCTGACAGGCACAGTGCATCCACAACAGAGAAGCAAGCATTATGAGGCCCTTGTGCCCGGGGACTGGGTTGTTCAGTGTCATAGCCGTGTTCCCGATAGCTAGCATGCTGTCTGATTGAGATTATGGGGAGGATGAAAGCTAGTTTTATGAAGAAAATTCCACAGACCAATTAGAGCAGGTGGGACAGTAGCTAAAATACCTCTCTAATTCTGATCTCATGAATTTGGAACTCAAATTCAGACAAGGAGTGAGCATGATTTTGGTTGATGTTGGAAGAATTTCCTAATCAAGTTCACAATATAAAAATGGTTCAGGGAAACTCAACCATGCTCCAGAGACAGTTGTAACTGTTAGGCACAACTTATTTTGAACCATTAATTAATGGTTCTAGTTCTTATAATTATCAAAGCTCTAATGAGTATAGAATATAGCTCTTATACGTGTGTACAGTCAATAGTTAAAAGATGGGTTCTCTAGGACCACGTGTGTAGCCCCATGATGGACAGCTTGTCTCACAGGTGCAAGCCCCTGGATTTGGTCCCCATTACCACATCAATTAACACGTGTAAAAATTATTCCTCTAATTGTGACTTGGCAGAGATTCTCCCTAGAATTAATTAAGTTTCAGCATCTTTATTATTGATCTTCAATTATGTGAAATATTAAAGGCTTTCTTATCATTAATTTCGATAAATAACATTCTGGAAAAAGGAAGATAAAGTGAAAAGATGGCCATTTCAATACCTGATCAATTGTTAAAGCATTAAATGTAAAAAGTTAATCACCATTATGTTTTGAAATATGCCCCTAGTCTAAAGAGAAGAGACACCGAAGGAAGCCCTTTTGACTTCTGGCATTCTTATGCTTGTTAAAGTCCCCACAGGGTTTGTAAGCTTTTGTGTGTAACCTGTACATAGGCTCTTCATTTGTTCTTTAGTCTGCTTCAGGAGCCGTCCTCATGAGCCCTAGGTTCCAGGCCCTAGGTCAACTTCTTGATATACCTCACATTTCAACTTTAAGCATTACTAATTGGTACAGAACACCCCATATTGGACAAAGTCCCACGATGCCAGGCGGCAGAGAGAACTTTTTCTAGCTAGGAGACTGGTGTTGAATGGCGAGATTACCCTGAAGCAGTCTGACAGACACCTCACTATTCTCGGGAGCTGTCTTGCTCTGCTTCTCAGCTAATTTAAAAGACTGACTGAACAGGAGCAGTGTTGGAACCTCGAATGCTTAATGTAGAAGCTCTTCTGGTCCCTTGGCACAGGTAACTGTGCGAATGTAGGTTGATGGCTACAGATTCCTGTACTGGAAAACTCTTGGCACCAGAATCCATAACTCGAAAAGTCCTTTTTGGTTTGTTTTTAAAAGATCAAACAAAAGAAGTTAAGAAGGAGGGGGTTGCACAGGGGAATCAGGAGGTGGCAGGTACAGAACTTTTCTCCTAGGGAATTTGGTAGGAATGGTTGGCATGCTTCTTTTGCCCAAGGAGGTGGGTATGTAGGACAGACACCGGGGACTAAGCTGTGGGACGAAGAGCCAGGCGCTGTACCTCTGTCTGCACCATGTTGACTCTCCTGGACCGAAGCTCCCTGACACAGTTGTAGATGTCCACCACTCCTTCCCTTTCTGCCATATCCAGCATGATATCAATGACGATGAAGCAGCCAGTCCTTCCTGCTCCAGCACTGTGTGGAGAGAGGCGTCTGTCAGCCAAGGGGGAGGGCCACTGCAAGGCTTCTAGCTTCTTAAGCATCAACCTCATTCACTTCTAGAATGGATGAGGTTTCTAGAGCCTCCATGGAACCCCATACCCAGAACCAGTTCACCTTGCATCCATGAGGAAGCACTGGGGAGCTCTCCTTACCTGCAATGTACCACCAATGGGCCTGCATTGGGTGGGCTCTTGGATTTGACCTGCCGGACAAATCCCAGCAGGCCGGTGGCATGGTAGGGGACGCCGTGGTCTGGCCAGCCGGTGAAGTGAAACTGTCTGATCTCTCGGATTTCGTGAATGCCTCTCTGCAGTCCGTGGTCAGCCACAGCAGCAGGGGAGAACAAAGGAAAGGAAAGGAAAGGAAAGGATAAGCTAGTATAAGCAGGAACACAAAGCTTCTGTGAGCGAGTGTACGGCTGGGGATGACGGGCCTTTGTAGTTGTACCATGCAATCTGGTAGGCTTAGGACATGAAGTTGTTTATGGGTGTGAAAGGGGAGGTGGTGTCTGGGGGACGTGCTAATTGACACATGCAATTCTGGAGATGAATGGGTCTCTCTGGTTCTTCGGAAGTCCTTTTCTACAAAGCAGACTGTGTTAAAAGCTGTTCACTGGCAGCTATTGGAATGTTAAGACCCTTGTCCTGGCTCCAGGTGCTCACGTGGCGCATGTACACTGTCAGGGGTTGGAACATGTTTGCTGAAAGAATCAACTAGAACTCTTTCCCAATCTGTTTTCATCTGTGGCTCAGTTAGGTCTCTTTTGTTTAAGCAAACGTGTAGCCCATTCATTCAGATGCTAGCAATTCTGTGACTATAAATACTTCAAGTGTTAAGGCTGCCAGAACTGTGGAAATATGAAGGTGCCTCACCCTGTCTTCAAGTGGCTATTTCCTCTGTGGAAAAATGTGTGTCAGAAAGCATGAGGGTCAAGAAGTACTTTTACTGGGATTCTCTGTTTGACCAGTGAATGGAAGGCGGGGTACTGCCTTATACTGAGCTGAAGGGGGTAAAAAGGAAAAGACTTTATGCTTGTTTTGGCTTTTAATTTGCTCTTCTTAACCTTTTAAAGGGATTATTTATTTTTTTATGTATGAGTGTTTTGTCTGCGTGCAGGCAAGTACGTGGTATGCATGTCTGGTGCTCACAGAGGTTCAGAACAGGGAACTGAATCTCCCAGAACTGGAGCTAAGGACAGCTGTAAGCCACCCTGTGGCATTGCTGTGCACTTGTGTGTGCAGCTACCCAGGCACATGCATAGGCACACATGTATGGAGGACTCACACACATGTGTAGGCACACATGTATGGAGGGAGACCAGACAGGGACACTAGGCATTTCCCTCCATTGTTACTTTCCATGTGTTTTGAGACAGGTTCTCTCACTGAGCCTGAACCTGATGGCTCAGATCCTGTGGACAGCCAGTGAGCTCCCAGGATCCAACCCCTCCCTGTTCTCTCCATACTGTCGTGGTAGGCTCTCACTTTTATATGGATGCTGGGGATCTCAACTCAGGTCCGCTTGCTTTCATAGCAAGCTGCTTTATCCACTGACCCATCTCGCAACCCCAGGGTATATTTGAAAAACAAAAATTACTTTTATAATCAAGGCTACAAGTAAATCTGGGATCCACTGCCTACACTGCGTCCTCACGTCGGTCCTTGCTTCTGTTTTATTACATTTTACAGATGAACACGCCTGGACCTTACCAGATTCTCTACCAACCATCCCCAAATGTTTAGTAAATGAAGAAAAAATTCCCTATTATTATGGGCTTGGAAAGGCTGGGAGAGGGAAGAAAGTCTGGAATTTAAAATAAGACTCATTTGCTATTTGCTATCAATGTGTTAATATATCTTTCACACAATGGCGTACCAATGCCGAAACTCCATTACCCTGTGGAAATGCTATTGTTTACTCATGTTTGAATAGTAAAGAGGCAAGTCGACAGGGACTCAGTAGTAGTACAATGAACTAACCAGGCTCCAGGGGACCAGAATAATGGCACGAGTTATTTAAGAGCCAAATTTTCTCATCACTGAAAATAATATTTGGCCATTTCCAAAGACCCCATTAGAAGACAGGCAAGTCACTCTCAGCCTTCCAATGCTTAGAGCGCTTGCTGCCCTGGAATTACGCTCAGTGATCTAGCCAGTGATGAGCTTGACCTGATGAGCCAACATCCTGTGACTCAGAACAGCTTTGGCAATAAATGCTTATGTCCTCCAGGTGGGAGGGGGAGGAAATTTTTATATGCTCAGTTTCAGGCCCAGAGTGACACCCATCATGAGATGGGCTCCCAACTAGTGTCTTTATGACTGATTTTTATAGCAGGGAGCATGTTAGCTTTAGGTATCCTGAAAACCTGTCCCCACAATGAAGCTCCATTTTCTCATCTAGTCATTACTGTCAAGATTAGCATAGGAAGTTACTTGGGATACAATATTCCTTCTTGTACATGAACAACAGAGTCTCCTGGGGGAAAATGGAGGAGCAACCAGCAATTGCAGGGCAAGCACTTCCCAGCTGGATGTTAATTACATCATTTCCTTAGTTTTCATTAGAAAAGCATTAATGTTGCATAAAAAAGTGTAAATCATTTAATGTTTCCATGAAGTATAATGGGAGGGGAGAGTCCACATCAGACCACTGTGCCTATCCCAACATGGGTGTATTCTATGTCTGTGTAATGACTGGCTGAATCATGAGGTATGCATCTGTCTTTGAGACAGGAGATATTATTCCTTTAGCTGGCTCAAAGTCTCAGGGTTGCTCATAGGCACAGAGGATAGGCTGGTCACTTCCAGCTTCAATTCTGCCAAGGCAGATGAGGTCTGCGGGACCTGTGGGAACCTTGGAGTTGCCATGTCAGTGTGATGGGTATTACATGCTACATAAAACCATTAGGCATTTGAGAAGGAGAAGGAGACCATCAGATGCAAACTAGAGATTTATCAACCCCAGGTTACGGCTATCTGGTTGCTTTGCACAAGACCCCAAATCTATTTTCTCACCTTTAGGTTCCTTGTTACATCCTGCTTCCAAAGCAGAATTGTAAGAACCCAAAGCCTGTATCTAACCACTTCTTTTTGTTTCTTCATTAATGAGAAAGTTTCAAAGCACAAGAAGTGTTCTACAGAAGTTAAACAACAGGGTTCTCCCCCCCCCTCTCTTTGTTTTTGTTTTTCAAGACAAGGTTTTTCTGTATAGCCCTGGCTATCCTGGAACTCACTCTGTAGACCAGGCTGGCCTTGTACTCAGAAATCCGCCTGCCTCTGCCTCCCAAGTGCTGGGATTAAAGCTACGTGCCACCACTGCCTGGCAAGGGTTTTCTTTCTTAAAGACTCCAATTTCCCTGTCTGAAAATCATTAACAGGTCTCTTCCCTACACCATCTCCTCACAGGTTGTGTCTGGTTGAAATACCTGGGCGTCTGAGGAAAACTTCTGTGCAGCTGGAAATGTAGCAGGCACAGTAAAAGGTTAAAAACAGAGCACAGAAACAAACTGACCCTTGCTTTAACAACCAAGATGCATTTTCAGCTTATTAGAGAGCTGACTATTGTTCAAAGAACTTCATGTTTAAGCAGTGGCTTAGGAGAAAAACACCCAGGGTCTTTTATTGCTGTCTGTTTTAATGCAGTTATTTATGAGTGTTCTTGCCAAGAGCCATACAGAAATCCTGCAAGTGCTTTTCTCGTACAGTCCTGCCTGAGAAGGAAAAAAAAATCAACATCAAAGTATGAGGTTTAGAACTCGAAGAATTGAGCCAAACAGAACTTTACATTCTTTGAAGTTTCCAAGCCTCCCTCTTGCTTATTAAGAGAGAGAGAGAGAGAGAGAGAGAGAGAGAGAGAGGGGGGGGGGGGGGCTAGAGGAGAAAGAAGCTAAATAGTATGAGAAACAGATTAAATAAAGCCTTCTTGGCTTTGGGAGTCTTGTTGTAAATTTGGGTTTTCAATCTAGAAATGGCAGTTCCAGTCATCTGTGAATTAGACAATAGGCGGATCCTGCAATTTCCTTATTCCCCAGAGATTTCCCTGTTATTCTAAAAAGTGCATTTAGACGCAGTTATCATATAGAATCAGGAGAAGACAGCCAGGAGCTAAGAGGCCAGCAGTCCGGCATAACCCAGCCCCGGACGGGGTCTGCTGCCACTGGCTGAATGAGCACAGACTGAACTCGTGATAAATTGGTAGTTTCAGAGCAGCAGCTGTGCAGGTCTGTGTTGTGGGCCTCTGAGGGGCAGAGTGTCTCTCAGTCACCTCCACCTTCCCCACAGCGTACCTGTGGCACTCCTCTGGACGGACTGCAGTTTGCTTCACCTCCGGCCCCTCCCTATGTCAGCAGAAAGAGGGGGACAAGGAGAGTCCCTGTTATGGCCTACAGTGCTTCCCGGAGAAGCAACCTTATCCATGCGTATGAGATGAGGTGGGACAGATTAGATGCATGGCATTTGCCCAGGGCTGAGAGCAAGGTGTGAGTGAATATGGAGGGGTGCTGGCTCATGCAAGAGTGCTTGTGACTCATGGAGCTCCCTCATGTGGGCTTCCAGGGAGACCACTGCCACCCTGAGGACCTTTCAGTCTCTTTTGGACTTTGGGCCTTAGAAAGCCTGAAGGGGCTGAGGGATTCGAGGAGCACTGCGGACCAGAACGCTGTCTCAGCCCTTATGTCAACTCAGTTTCGGGAGACGCAAGTAGATGTTCAAGCTGGGATGGCATCTCTCTAAATGTAGAAAACTTGGCTTTGTGAGTTGAGAAAGAGAAAGGGGCAAAGATGAGCCAGCTTAAAATGAAAATAGTGCAGTAGATGTTATCTTTGGGCTTAGTCTAAAAGTATAGATTGCTGTGAAATGGGAATGGCTTGCATTAAATATGGAGGTGAGCTGTTACTGAATCAGAGGGCAAGACGCAGTCTTGGGAAACTACCGGAGCCTACCTGCGTCCAGGCCTGATCCTAGATAAGCTGACGAGGCTACTGTGGCTCGCTCCGGCTTTCACACTTACCTTTTCCACGGCAAACGTTCTTATCACATATTCTGCCAGCAGCTCTGTATCTATTAGAGTGACTTTAATGTCTTTATAGATCTCTGTGTCATCTGGCCAGTATTTACAGCATTTCACCTGCAAGGAATACAAAGGAGATTATGGGTTTAGCTTTTTATTTAGTCCCTTCAGTGAGGGGGGGGGTCATACTGTGACTTACAGGATAAACTTGCACACACAAGTTAGCCGCATACCCCAAAGTAAGTTTTTGCTTTTAGCACCATCTACCTAGTCATTTTCTTGTTATAGTAAACCTTCGTTTCCTATCCTTCCCTACTTAGGAAATGGCCTGGAAGAATAAACTGCAGAGGAAGTTTGCAAATTTTAGTCTTCTTGACTTTTAAGTTTCAGAAAGTGACTAAGGGTTTTTTGAGGATGGAAGAAAAAATCTGATTCAATACTAAAGATGAAATGAGTCTGCCTGGAGGGGAGAGGAGCTTCCTAACTGACTCTGCACCAGACTCACAGGCTCTTGTTATTGGTGCTTATTGGTTGTGAGGGACCATCTGTCTCTTTACAATTAGTTTCAGGTTAGAACACCGATTAGAGAGTTTTGTCCTTACCCCTTCAGACATACGTGTCATTACACACTCTGTTCACCTGTGTCCCTCCTCCACATTCCTTCCTGCTTTGGGGCTAGTTTCCTTCTTGACCCTAGCTAGTACCCTTTCTGCTTCTGTTAGCTGCATTTCCTTGTCTTCTCTACTTTCTACCTCCTTTATGATCTCCTCCTGCTGCTTTCTTTCTACTTCTCCCCACTCCCTCATACACATATATATCACATACATATACTAATATACATATACAATGCGTGGTTGCACATCTAAGCTTCATATATATGAGAAAGCATAGAATTTGTCTTTCTGAGTCTAGCTCATTTCACTTAACATGATGCTCTCAGGTTGTCTCTGTTTCCCTCCAAATGAAATCACTTCATTTTTCTGTATGGCCACATGAAACTCCATCATCTCTCTGGAATGCCTCCCATATGCAATTTCTGTTCTTTATATTTCCTCTGACACAATCTAAGTTTGGGCTCTGGGGTCTTCTTGCAGGGATGGTCTACACAGACAAGATCTAGATGCCACCTCCCAAGTAGAGCTCCCCCAACCCCCAGCTCCAACTCTGACTTGTGCTGTCCTGGGATTGCTGCTTTCCAGCTCTATCTGTCTCATCTAGGGTGTAAGTAAGACTTAAAGCATTTGGCCACAACTTGTGTTTTCAGTCTAATCTACAATCATGTTCAAAGACAAGCACCTAACCTAATCCTAAAAGAGACTGTAATCCAAAACCATTCCATCTGTTTAGAATGGTCTCTCAACCATTTCTTTCCAGGCGATGTCTCCCCTATTCTTTAATGCATGCTAAAACCCCACTCTTACCCACCCCCACTGCTACCCAAAACTTTTATCCACAGATGTGAACTCTCGTTGATTCCCAAGGAGCATATTTGGTAGCAAGGATGAGATCCTTCAAACACCTGTTTATTGCTGGCCAGTGTTTGGAAAGGGGTTATTTTGCTTATTTCTCAGATCCTGCAGCACTTGGAGTTCATGCCCTATATATGATAAATATATAGAGGCTACACAGGGCTGTATTTCATGGAGACAGACATAGGATTAGTGTGAGAAGGCAAATCCAAGACTGGGAAATATTTCAGGAAGGACTATGGGCTAAGAAGACCTTTCAGAAGGCAAACATCTGTGTCACACTAATGTTTATAATGTGGATTGTGGTTGGCTAGGGCTCTGGCTGCCTCTAAATGTTTGAAACTTTCTGTAAGTTCAAGAGAATTCTTATTAAACTTAGTTGACAATATACAAGTTAGCGTTTGAGGCAAGTGGAGCGGGGACAACAATGGGCTTGATCCCAAGCTGTTTTAAATCTCAATGGGAACCTCCCTACATGACCTTTGCCTGGAAACAATATCTGTGACATTACCAGAAGGTGCTATCTATAGTATCTCAGAAATATATGTCATGAATATCCAAAAAATATCTAAAATACCCAAGATTTAAAGAGACTGGCAATTGTTTTGTAGATGCCAAGTCTGTCTGATCAGACGGTGTGTATGCAGAGGTCTCTAACTTGAGGGTGGCCATAATTTGATTTATAGGATATCCATGGTGGTTAGCAGGGATGCTTATGCAGCACACAGTGGGCTCTCATTTACTGTCCGTGTCTTCAGTTATGAAGTCAGAAGGTAGTGGGTAAAGCTACAAATTCAGTATGAATGTGTGATTTTAAAGTGGAGTAACTCAGTGTAATACAAGTAAGAGTGTATTTCTTTGGAAGGTACAACAGAACAATATAACAACAACAAAACACACACACACACACACACACACACACACACACACACACGATGCACCTGCAACCTGTGTTATACCAGGGATCTTTAACCTGATAAACCCCTCCTATCTGGTGTATCTTAGTTGACAAACTACAGGTACAGCAGGTGTAGAGCAGTTTGTTGTATGGTTACCTATTCATCTATTTTAGACTCTGCCTGGGAATTTTTAATAAACATGAATGTGGGGCCTTCAATGCCTTGGGGTCAAAGAGTTAAAGCCTGCCAGCATGGACCGAGGGTCAGAGTTTCTCCTCTGGACAGTTCCCATATGCCAGTCCAGATTACATCTGAGATCTGACCCAGTTTTTCGGAGATCTGTAACTAGTGATGCTGCGGGATGCCTCCATGTGTAGGCAGGAGACAGGGACTTCTATGCTAGATCATTTCCAGTTCCTGTGGAAGCTCCAAAGTTAAGGGCTTCCACTATAGCCACAGTGGTGGGGGACAGGTGCATCTGCTCTTCCAGCAAAGGACAGTGGCCTCCTCTGAAATGCATGGTTGGGAGCTGGGCCGGAACCATTAGGATGCTCTAATCCAGAGGCAGCTAAGAAAACAGAAGCATAAAGATACTTCCTTCCAGAAAGATTCCTCGAATCTTATACACCAGCACCTGTCAGGGTAGGTCCGGAAAAGGCAGAGGGACCATTTAGAATCTCATCTTTTCCAACTCATCTCCTGGAATATCTTGAAATGGTTTGCCACATCTGTTTCAGCCTACTAAAAATCCTTCTAAATTGAGCTCTTCTAAGTATCTTTTTAACTGCTTGGATCCGTGTCAAGTTATTATTTTGCTTGAAGAAAAAGGAACAGGAAAGAGAACATGTTTCATTAGGGATGACGACTTTGTACAACTGCAGCATGAGAGTCTGGTGGCCACCTCCTGGCTCTGACTCTGCATACAAAGATGTTGAAACCAAAGCTTTTTGAGGCACCTGCTGGATCCCCAGCCTCACACAACCCGACACTCCTGTTTGATCCTGTGCCAAGCCAGCTGTCTCCTGCAGCCCGAGGGTGCTTGCCCAGCATCAAGTAGAGGCCTTGCCTCCCACACATCTTCATCATGTATGGCAACAGCCTCCAGCATGGAAATGAGGCCACTTCCAGGGTCCTCTGATTACTTTGGTGCCCTATGCAGATTCCATCAGGCCATTAATCAAACAGAGGGCACTGGGCCTTACTGCCTGCTCATTACCATACTTGGCTGCAGGAGAGATGTAGTCTCTACTCCCAAAGGGTCCTTAACTTTGGCTTTAAAATTCACTAACTTAAAACACAGAAAGCATTAGACTGTGAGGATCTTGAACTTAATGGGAGGATGTTTTTATGAAGAGTCATTTTTAACTCACAGCTTGTGATAATCCCATTTTATTTTGGTCATAACATCACTGGGGGTAGAACAACTTTCCCCAGCCCTGGGAGTACCTCATCCTGACCTTGAGTGCATCCTGACATGGTTATATTAAGAGTTCTAAACTCTAGCACATATCAGAACTCCTTGTGGCGATTCTCAACAAATTCCAAGGGTCTGAAGACTTGGCACTTTCAACAAGCTCCCTGGCCTGTAGCCCATACCGGCCAGAGGAACTTCTGCAGCCCAACCAAACAGCAGAATCTGGCTGATATGAGTTGGAAGAGGGCCTTGCAACTTGCTTATGCAACCTCAAGAAGGGATGATGACAATTCTTGTCCAGAGTGTCCTAAGATGAAGTTATCGGTTTTAAATTCGCTGACACATTAGAGTCAGCTGGAAGATGTATTTAAAAAGACCATAAATCCCAGGTCACATTTTTCAATTTCTATCTCTGGATTTCTGTGCTGGGACAGAAGAAACTGTATTTTCTGGAAGCTTCCCATGCGACCCCAAGTGCAGATGAGTCTGGAAATCACAAGATACGATGCAATAAACAGGTCTAGCCAAGTGTCCAGTTGACTGCAAGATCTCAAAAATGATAATCCTTCTTAAGTGATGAGTTTAAACTCTGGACCGTTGTTGGGAGCCAACTCTGAGCAGGAAGCAGCTATCATCTTTGTAGCCATCTTGAGCCATATACCCTGACAAGAGACTTGTTTTCAACAGCCTACAACAGCTGAGCACACTCTGATAATTATCTTGATATACCCATGATTTCCTTTCAATCAAGGCCAGGCAGTGGTGGCACACGCCTTTAATCCCAGCACTTGAGAGACTCAAGGTGAGACTCAAGGAGAGATTAAAGGCAAGACTCAAGGCGAGACTTGAGGAGAGAACAGAGCAGACTCTGCCTCATCTCCAGATCAGATTCCCTGTCTTGTCTCCATTCTTCTCGTCTCCATCCCCACACTCTCTCTCTTGCTAGGCCCTGACCCTCAGACTGGAGCAGCAGAACGGGCCGTTACAGACCGTAGGTGACAATAAGAATTTGCGGAGCCTGGGAAGGTGAAGCAGGGTGTTTAGTAAGAGAAGGAGAGAGGTCTTGAACAGTGACAGCCTTGGTTTACGATGAGAGGAAAACGAGGGGAAGCTTCTGTGCTGCTTCTGTTCTTTCCTGTAAACTATTCTCCCCAGAAACAAGATGATGACACAGAGGAGACCTGTGTCATCAGGTCATCAAGAGGATGACACAGAAAGGTTGACTTGTCCAGTCTCCTACTGTATGGCTTGGATGTACTTCCAACTGGAATTAGGGAGAAAGTTTCTGTATTCTTGGGAGGCAATTTAAAGCAAACAACTGGAGTCACAAAGATA